TCGTGGAAGCAAGCATGAACATGAGACGTACTAGGTATGCCGAGGGATCCGAACTTTAAAGGTTGACTCTTGAAGGCGAAGGTTTTGGAAAACCTCAGTAACAAGCCGGGAATCATCTTCGCAGAGAAGGGGCTGCTACGTTGAACATGGCTGGCAGAACATAGAAGATCTTAAGACTTTTACCCCACATGCCACCATGAATAATAGTTAACCTGCTTTGGTGATATCGGAAAGACCCATCTCGCTGATCAGATGATGGGCCACAAGATCCCAAAGCTTGTTCCACGCCTCCGCCTGCAGCAAGCCTTTGAAGCGCTCAGCCAACATGTCCTGGCGGACTGCATTGCAATGGTTTATCTTCAAGACGCGGCATGCATGCCATGAGTCGTCCACACAAGCATCCCTATAGAAGCCGAGTTACCTACATAGCTGGAAAATCTACTACGATCTTTTCCGGACACAATCACTTCGCACAAAAGCTAGCTAGGCTTCTTGAGCCTGGAACTTGGCGAGCGTCTGGTTCCGTGTGGCCACAATCTCCGTGGAGGCCTCCCGCCACAATCGGCAATTCCCCTAACTTGAACAAATCTGCAGAGTGAGATTCAGCTGTTGAACATCTGGGCCTGTAAAGGTCGTCTTCAACAGAGCAGAAGGTCGAGATTTGGCAGGAGCTGCGAGCCAAGCGGCATGGAGGCGTGCTTCTCGCACCCGCCAGGGCCTGGGCCAAAGGGGCACTCGCGAACCACCCTTTCCCGCTCCCCTGCCGAGCTTGCTAACATCTTCAGTCACTCATGCAGTGACCTTAGGAGCCATCCCAGCTCCGAGATAAGCCGCGCCTCACCAAGATCACAAGGTCATCCGGGCCCAGATCTTCGTCCTCCCCCGCATCTTCGGGACGCTTGCAGAGGTACTTGTGGTCGTTTCGGAAACTGATCGAGAAGCCGGTGAAAAGGCTGTCGTGTCGTCAGGCATGATCAACCATTGCTCTTGGGTCGAAGGTTCGTGCAATTTGCAGGGGGGGCTGTAGAGTACCTGGCCCGACCCACGAGACGCTGCTGTTTTGTTCTGCGAGAGTGCAGGTTGGGCTTGGCGACTGTGGGCTTGATCTGTTGTGCTTCCCAGCGAGACATCCCGAACAAGAAAGCCCGTGCCACAGCAGCGCCTATGCCCGGCGTCCTCCGCCATGACTTGAACGGCTACCTGTCATCGTAGAGATATCACAGCACATTATAGTAGACTATAGTATACATTAAGTTATAGTCTACTATAGTGTATTCGTGTACTTATAGTACATTATAGTATGTTATGGTATGTTATGTTATAGTATGTTATAGTATCTTGTAGTATAGGGGAGGTCTGAGCTTGGGGTCTCTCCCCTCGAAGCTTCCGGCTTCCTGGGCTTCCAAGGCCTGGCGACCATCGCCGAAGCCCAGCAGGGAACTCCTGAAGCGCCGCTGGGGCCACGCTAGCAGTATAGGTTTTATAGGGTTTAGGGTTTATAGGGTTTAGGGTTTATAGGGTTTAGGGTAGGGTTTTTTTCCCTCCCACTTAGCAAGGACGAGCCCGCATTGCAGGGTTGGTTCGGATAAACAGATGACTACAGGATGCACTGTAGGGTTTGCAAGCGGGATCACTGTTAGTGGCCTGGCTTGCTCAAGACGAAGTCACCCTCCTGGAACTGCTTGTGCAGACGTGTCCCCTTTTTCGCGGCTAGGCGGCGAAATCCCCGGCACGATCCTCTAAGTAATTTCCTGAATGGTCACACAGCTGCGAGACGCAGAGTCTGAGTCACGCTGCTCAAGTGCTGAACTTATGCAAGCACTTGCATGGCCTCCAGCCCCGGAACACATTCAGAGTCCTCAGAAGCATTACGAACTATTTCAGTTTCCTTCTGCAGTGGTTGAAGGCCTAAGCTCTTGCGTCTTCGGGCTGACATCATAGAAGGATCTTCCATGATCCTCCAACGTCCTCCCATCTTGTAGTAGAGCTCAAATTCTCGAGATGTGCCGGCTTTGGTAAGCCCATTTGCTAGCTGAGCTTCGGAATGCACCCACCGAATCTCCAGATCGGTGGTCATCTGGGAGTCCTTTACACTGAGTAATTCTATATTGGCTCGTTTTTCGGCTCCCTTGATCACCAATACTTCTGTGCTGAGCTTGTCATACACGTTGCGGGAGTCCGTGATCAAGTAGCCTGGTGTCTGCCGCACAGTGGCTTCCGGGTCTCTCACATTCACCTCGCCATACAGCATCTCCGACCACTGGTATCGAGCGTAGTACAGTGTGTCGTCACCGTTCGTTGCCGCCTGCACCTCGGCGGCTCCGGGTGACCGGCAGGCTCTGTCAATCTTACTGGATTGCCAGCAGATCGGAGACACCTCAGTAATGTCTCCCTTCGCCAGGCTGGTCGGGGCAATCCCGACTAGAATGCCTTGAGTGCTGCCGCCCTTAACCCGGTTCTGGCTGGCAGCGTCCACCCAGGCGTACACGGCGAGGTCCACATTCTTTGGGAAGGCATGAATCTTCATGGTGTGCTCATGCCGCAACTGTGCCTGATGAAGCAACTGGTTTGCTTTCTTGATGGTCGCCACTGTTCCTTCGCTTGTCTCGGAGAGCAGAAGAGAGACTTCTGCTGACAAGTGGGGAGCCACCTGCTGGGCTGTCCATGACAGTCCGCCCAAAAGAACTCGTAGTTGCGTCCGCTCCCAGTCTGTAATAGCCTTGTCGTCCTCGCGGCGTCGGGTGGCGCTGAGGGGAATCTCCTTCAAATCCTTGGCGTAGCCAGGCTGGGATAACTCATAGCCCTCTGGCGTGGCCTTGATTCGGACTCCACACTGAGTGAACGCGTCACGTTCCCAGTCGCCCCATTTGAACTTGTTCTTGATGGCCTCCAGGATCTTGTTCCACTCGGCGTCCTCACTGTCGCCCATGAAGAGGAAGTCGTCCACGTGCCCGCAGATGGCGCCTCGTAGGTCACCCTTCACGCGCCAATACCACACACAGGGGTCGGACCAGGATTTAACTAACCCTAAACCTGTAAGGTACGTATCCACGGACTTATACCATTCAAGAGGTGCGTCGACAAGGCCGTAACACGCCTTCATGAGCTGGGTCACTGAGCCGGGAGGCAAATTCATTGCCTCCAAGATCTCTGGGCACGGCACGCAATGCAGGGTGTCGGGGTAGGATCGGCCTTGCAAGAAGGCCCCCGACACGTCACCCTTCTGGATCAGCCATCTTTTCCAAGCAGCATATTGTAGGAACATCTGTCTCGTTTGGCGAGACATCACTGGTGATGTTGTTGCTCGATGTTCGTACGAAGGGTCCTGATACCCTAATAATACAGCCCGTGCTTTCGCTTTCCGCGTGCCGTCCTCCTTCACCTTCCACGTCAAGATCCATCGCATCCCCACGGCCTGTTCAGCCGATGGCTGCAAGTGTGGTGGCAAACTCTTGAAGGCTTCCGCTGCGATGAAATTCTTGACCTCCACGGCCTTGGCTTGTTTGAATTGCTCCTTTTCATCCGGAGTGAGCTTCCGCTCACTCACTTCCACCGCCTTGCGCTTCATCGCGCCCACGAAGAAAGCCTCCAGGTTGCGGCACATCTCCTTTTGTCCACGGTTGGACTCCGGGACATCAAACTCCACCTCAACCGCGGTGCCATCGTGCATCCAATGCTCAACCGGTTGAGCGCTCCATGCACTCTGAGAAATCCGGTCTTGCCAACGCTCGGCAAGATGACTATCCTGAAGGTTGTCCTGGCGTCGAGGTCGCTGATGAGGGGGCCGTGTTTCATCATCCATCTCATCCGTGAGCGGTGGCGGCTCGGGTCGCTTGCTTCGAGCTCGTCGTAGAACGGGTGGCGCCTGCTGGTCTGGGTCCTGAGCTCTGCTCCACTCCACGTCGTCGGGTGCTTCCTTGGAGACATCCTGGAACTGGTTGCCTCCCAGTTCTTCGGCGACCTTCGTAAAGGTCCAGGGTACTTTGGCCTCGGAACTCAATTCCTCAACCAAGGCCTCGCGCTCCGAGGCGTGTCGCAATTGTTCTGGGCAGCACTTAATCAGCTGCTTGCCACGGATGCACCACACCACACTCCCGGGCCGCAAGTGGCCCTCCTCGTCGCGTCTAGTCTCGGTCGCCAGGACCCTAGCTGGTCCCAGAAATCGTCCATGTTTCCCGCCGGGCGCCCGACGGCTTTTATTTGCCTCTTGGCTTCGCCAGAAGAACACAAGCTCTCCCGGCACATAGTCGAGCACTCGCCGCGGTCGCGAGTGCTTGGCCCGTAAGAGGCGCTGTCTCGCATGCCATTCGCAATGTGCCTTCTCAGCTGAGGCTCTTCTTTCGACGTCTCGCTGAAACTCTCCACTCGCATTTTCCACCAGTAAATCTGGAGGAAGCCGGTGAGGCTCGGGCACCAACCGATCGGTGTCATCTGCGTTTCTGCCCAAAGCCAGTTGGGCAGGCGAAAACCCTCTTACTTGCTCACGATGATTAAAGACTCGCACAGCACCTGCCAGAGCTTCTTCCGGAGTGACAGCGGGGTCATCGGCATGTATCTTTGCTAAGACTTCCTTAATCCCTTGAACAGCTTGTTCAATGGAGCCTATCTTCCAATGAGCCTCGGCCGGCGCAACATCTAAAAAGATACTGTGTTTGTCACAGAATGCTTCCAGGGCCTGGCTTCGGAAGGCCCCCGTGGGATCAAGACGGAGAGTGCGGGGCACTCCAAAGTACTGCATCCAACCCTCCTGAAAATAATTCAAGCAAGTAGTCGCTGAAGGCTGCTGCTTGGACCCTCGTGTGAGGATCCGTGCAGTTCGAAATCGAGTATTCTCATCTATCACCACTAAAAACTGCACATCTTCTCCAGTCGTGGGGTGGTGCCAGTGTCCTACATCGGCAGCGACCGTATGCCATTTGGGCGGAAGCGGTTCAAGTGACGCTAAATGCCGTGGCTGCACTCTCTGTCGCTCATGACACACACTGCACTTGAACTCCGCCGCCGCCTTAAGCACTTCTTCGGATGCTCCTCGTTTCTTGAGAGCGTCAATCAGGTGTCGCATGCTGCCATGCCCTGTTGCTGCATGCAACAGGTAAATTTGTTTGTCAATCTTTGCCCGCCTTCGGGCAGCACTGGCAGGTTGTTCCTCACCCGCCCACGCTTCTTGCCTCTCTGCATCAAGAGCATTCTGGCTTCTCTGGAGAGGAGGAGAGGAGTTCCTACGAGGGAGCGGAAAACCAAATTTCCTCAACTGCTGGCGTTCTTCTTCTGTAAGTTCATGTCCACTGCGCACCGAATATGCAGACAACGTGATTCTCTCACCAGTCCACGGGTCCACAGTGTGCCAGGCGTTGGGAGGGAAAGCCACCACTTTATGATGCGTACACAGGCGCTCGTTTTCTTGTTGAACGTCACGTTGCACCACCAACTCACCCCCCGTGTAGGTCCCGAAAGAACAAGTGTAATTCAAGCTGGCTTTGTCGTTGTGGACATCTTTGTGCCAAGGAACTTGGTTGTTGTAGCTTAACACAAACGACGTCCATGTTGCATTGGGGTCGGCGTGTTCCCGGAGGAAGGAATTCACATACTTACACAGTTCCTCATGCCTTGCCGTCCTCTTGCTCACTCCCACAAAGGGACCATGTCGATAGGCTCCGAACTGGAAGTATGGTGGTCGCGGACAATCCTTTCCCAGCATTCCTCGACCCTTCCTTGGCAGTTGGAGGTTCAAGCCTCTCACGTACTGTTCCATGTCCTGAAACGATAACTGGTTGTTTCTCCTTCTCTCCTGTGCCTCATGTTCCTGTTCTTGTCTGTTCTTGTTCTGGTTCGTGCTCACTTCTGTCTCACTCTCTCTTTCTCCAGCAAGCAAACAAGACGCACAAGACAGCTCATGTCCCGACTGGTGTGTCATGTCACAAGTGCAGGCGGATCCTAAACCAAACAGCTCTATGGTTTGTGACTTCCCTTGGCATTCGTTTTGAACCCCATACAAACTCAGTTCTTGCTGCACCCCCATCACCACCAGTCTTTGGTATTCCTTGGGGTACGGCGGACTGCCCTCCGTGGCCTTGCCTTCACACCTTCCATGCTCGTACTTCCCATCACAACGACATGGCTTGTTCAAGAGGTCTGCCAGCCGCTTATGAGTGGTCATAATTTTCCAACCCTTTTGGATCAATTTTCCTCCGTTGTCCCGCAGATTCACCCGACAGCCCTTTGTCACCGCCGTATAGGGTTCATATCTACGGTACATGTTTTGCAACAAAGGTAACCGCCAGGCATCGCTCTTTTCAGCAAACTCCCAGACAACATGTATCCCCCGCTGAACGCAGTGATGCCAGACTACGCTACACCCAACATACGTCTTCAGGGCCTGCTGTCTACTCTGGGCAAGTTCTTGCTTCTGAGCCTCACTTCTTTGGTTGGTTCTTTGCATGGGGGAATAGGGACTTCCAGGAGGGCTCAGCCAGACTGTTGTGGGCCTCAAGGTCTCAATTTGTTCCAACACCAAACGCACTCCGGCTGATGTACCAAGATCATGCTTGTCCCACAAGGCACAACATGAAGCAGCGCTCTCTTCTCCCACAAACTCTCGGACTGCCTGCGACAAAACACTCCCTTTTCCACATGTGATCTCCAGTAACAGAGGTCGCTGGTCTTGAGTCAGGCTCGAAAACAGCTGTGGCACTGCGCTCCAAGACTTGTTCTCTAGAGCCTGCGCGGCGCCAGCAGAAAGCTGGCGAGACTCTACCGGCTCCTCGCACAAATCATCTACGTCTGGTGCCTCAAAAACTGTCGTCTGCTGGCCTTGAACATCTGTCTGAACCTTCACGGGTCCAGGACCATTGTGAAGCTCGTCTCGGTGGGAGCCTTCGTGTCGGTCTCCGATTCCTCCTTCTTCTTGCGGCGCGGCTCCTCCGGGTTCTGTGTCTCCCGGAGTTGCTTGATCTCTTCCTTCATGGACATCATGGTGGCCATGAGAAGCTTCATGGTGTCGGCATTGGCAACCGCATCCTCGGCCACATCGTTGGAGGAGCCGGGTTGATCTCGTCCGATGGTTCCCCGTCCCTGCTTGGCACAATAGCCCTTGCCGCCCGTCGTGGCCAGGGCCTTGCTCTTTGCCTTGGGCAACATCTCCGCGTGGGTCTTGGTGATGTCCTTCACCGGGTCCTTGTCGATGTGCTCCCCGAAGTCCTCGTCTGCCTGATTCATCAGCCAGTTCCCCAGGCGACTGAGGCGGTAGTCGCATGTCTCCCCTCCCTCCAGGAGTGTTTCCTGCACCCAGGTGGCATACGCTGGCTGCTCCCGTCGGAGTTGGCCGTAGGTGAGCGTCGACCACTTCCCGAAGCCCACCGGGTCCATGGCGCTGGCCACCGAAATCTCGTAGATCTTCCGGGTCGCTCGCTTCTGCAGCATCGGGATCGTCTCGTTCCCACTCAAGGAGAGCTTCAGGCGTTCCTCGCAGAACGCTTTCAGCAGCTCTTTCTTGCGGCTGCTTTTGTTCAGCTCGGCAATCCACTGCCGAAGATCCGTCTTCTTCGAGCTGGAAGTGGACTCGCCGTTGAGTTCCATGAGCTCCGTCAGCCGATCTCGTAGCTCCACATTGCTCCACTCGCGGGGAGGTTCTTCTCCGCGAGCTCGAATCGCCTCCTGAAGCTGCGACTTGTTCATCCTCATCATGGCTCGTCCGGCAAGATCGAGATGAAGGGAGGACCTGGGGGCACCGCTCTGAGCTTTCACAAGGGCTTCCATCGTCGCTGGTTGTTGGCGCAACAGCACCGCTTCCGGAAACTGAAATATCTCTACACTCGCCTGAAACAAACACTTCACACACATGCTGAGGACTCTGTGATGTGATACTACCCTCTCCTGGTCTATACATGGAGACCTCCCTTTTGACGCCAGGAACGTCATCCGGGAGGAGCTGTCCCTAGAGGAACGCATCTAAGGAGGGAACCGGTTTGTTGGTCCCTCGAGCATTATCAAAAAGATCCGCTGTCAAATCCAGGAGCTGATGCCCGGTCTGGGACCGCTTCAAAGAAATCACTTTGCAAGGATCCAGCTCACGAAAAACGATCAAATCTCGCCTAAAATCAATCATGGCATCCAGCTTCCTCAGCGCGTCGATCGAGAAGAGCACGGGCCCCTCGCCCTCGTCCAAGGCATGCACCAGGAGCTTGCCCTGGTGCTGGTTGGCATCCACTCCCAAGTGGATGGTCGACACGCACTGGCCCTCACTGGAGTTGCCAAAGCCGAACACTGGTCGGTCTGACAGGTCGATCTTCTCGACCCTGTCCTTGCCGTACTTCTCGATGTTGCGCTTGAAGATCTGCTCGAGGGCTCGGACTGATCCAATGGTCTTGGTCGCCCCGCCGTCGATGACACAGCAGCCGGCATCAACCGCCTCCTTGGTGGTGGGCCCGGCAGCCAAAGCACCTTCATTGGTCTGCGCGTAGCACACGAAGGGAGCCATTTGCTTTGACTGGCCTGGCCCGTCAGCTTCGCCTGGCTTTTTGGGGCAGTTGCGTGCCCTGTGGCCAATGAGGCCGCAGCGCAAGCATGTCATCCCTGAGTCGTCGCGGGGGCGGCCGGAGTTTTCTCGGTCGCGAGGCTGGTAGTACTTGCGAGCCAACTTCACCTGATGTTGTTTCTCCCGAGCAGCTTTGAGTGTTCGACGGGCCTCACGAAGGACGGCCCATGCCGAGTCAATCTCCCTCTGGTTCTCCGACCAGATCGCTGAGCCCTCCTCGTTGAGGTTGTCGTTCAGGTCGCACTCAAACGCCTCGGGCGGCTCCTCGATTTCCTCGTCGACGTAGTCCTCGATCTCCTCGCCGATGTAGGCCTGGCTGTGGTGTTCCCTCCTTCGCTGATCCTGCTCGCCATGCTGAGTGCGCAATTCGTGCGCCACCTTGGCCAGCGTGTACTCGCCAGCCACTGCCGTGTGGATCAAATTTCTCTCATAGCCGGATAAGCCCGCATCTGCAAGGAGGTACCACGCCTGCACAAACTCGGGAAGGATCTCCACCTGGGATTCCTGGGGGGCGCCGGTCTCGGAGCCTGGCTTCCACTCCCAGCTGGAGTACCACGGGTACTTGTTCCAGTACTGGCCATGCCAATCCCAGGAGGACCAAGAGGTCGAGGAGCTCCATGTCCACGTCGTCTCCGTGTTGTTCTCTCCGGTGTTGATGTCACCGTCTCCGTCGTCATTGTCGTCTCCACCGGGGTTGGACGCTGTAGAGGTCCAACTGGATCGTCTGCTGCTCCATCCAGGCCCGCCGCCTGGATGGTGTCCAGTCCACGAGGTGGCCGCTGGCGCTGCTTTCTTGCTGGCAGGCATCACTCTTTTCAACGCCTGGCAGGCTCTCCAGTACGTCTCCGTTTTTCTTGTAATGTAGTCGTTGATGCCTTCTCCCACTCTGCGCCGGCTGTTCCGGAAATACTTGTTCAAAAATTCTGTGGCTTCCGGAATCTGAGGTCGTCCCAAGCTCTGTCGCAGGTGTTGCAGGAAAATGGCCACGCCGCCATTGAATGACACCCATGTCGGCTCTTTGCCGACTATCATTCGTTGCGCAGCTCCTGTCAATTCCCCGCAAAGTCGAGGTCCACATAGGTATCGGTTCTCATACTTGACACCCTGCTCCCAGACCAGAACTTGTTCCTCGTAGGCCTGGAACGTATTCGCGTTGCCGTCCCATGATGGGACGCCGTCCTTAGAGCGGCCACTCAGCCCGCTCGTCATTCCAGTTCGGTAGCACGGAACTGGTCGAAGAAGTAGGTCCCTGGATCGCACAGATGCTGGAGCCCGTAGGCTCCGCTACCATGCAAGCGGGATCACTGTTAGTGGCCTGGCTTGCTCAAGACGAAGTCACCCTCCTGGAACTGCTTGTGCAGACGTGTCCCCTTTTTCGCGGCTAGGCGGCGAAATCCCCGGCACGATCCTCTAAGTAATTTCCTGGATGGTCACACAGCTGCGAGACGCAGAGTCTGAGTCACGCTGCTCAAGTGCTGAACTTATGCAAGCACTTGCAGGGTTTAGGGTTTCCCTGGCAGTAACGGTGTACCTTGAAAGGTATCTTAAGCCACCATAACTTACCTACCTTTCGATGTAGGTTCCTAGTATAACCCCCAATCTAGACTTCTCACCAGCACGGGCTGTTCACGAAGGCAACCCTAAGATGTGTATCAAAACGTTTGATGCTCGTAGCTCAGAGAAGTTTCATCCACACTATCCCCAGAAAGCCATCCGGAAGATGCTCGTCGAAGTTTGCACTCATCCTACCTTTTTCATGCGATGGCCCATGTGCATGAGCTCAGGAACCCCAACTGACCGAAGAAGCTCCATGCCATACGGCCGAATCCCAACCGGCCGCCTGCAACACAACTTGATAAGGGCGTCCAGAAATCCAAACCCAGGCTTACTACACTATATGCCTGGAGAACCCATCAGAAAACTCTGATAACAAACATCATGCCTCAAAGTGCGCTCGTCCCGGAGTATGGCGAATTGCTTGCCAGCCTGCCCATCCTCAGGAGAACACTTCGGAGGCCTTCTGGCTTTTGATGTTACGGGCTTACGCTCTCACGACTCGGGCTAGCCAAATGAGGTTCGCAGTCACGTAATTAGGGAGATGCAGCTCTGCTGCCAACACAATCTCCAAACTCTAAACATGAGCTAACCGAATAAACAAACGAAAGCACGCAAATGATAAACATCAGTCATTGCTGTCGATTCAAGGGGATCACTGCCAACTCTCCCGCAAGAAGACTCGCCCTAATGCCACATATAAATACATAGTGCCTGGGCTGGTAGGGTTTGGGGTAATTATTGGATTCCTGGTTATCATCGTTGAGGTTTCATGGGTTCGTCATGGCTGGGGACGAGAACTAATATACTACAATATACTTTCATATACTAGAGTATTCTATAATGTAGTATGATATACTATACAAAGTACAAAGTAATTTGCACACGTTTCTGCACATGAGCAGGTGCTCCATTGTGTACTCACTATCCGCTCTCGCGCGTTTTCTGCGGAATTCTTCTGTACACGCAGGCGAGCAGCCAGAGCGCGAAGGCCTAAAGCCGCAAGCAAATCAACAGTTCTTCAACAGAATGCCTCTATGGCACGTGTCAAGCACTGTTGAACGATGTTCCAAGCATAGAGAGCTGTTGAAGAAATGCGATGCAACGGCACCGACTTCACTCGTGAAAGCTTGTGAATTCTCACAAATGAGCTCCTGTCGGTGCTCCTGGTAGCATACCTTCCTGGCATAGATGCACGGAAATCTGAGGGCCTCACATGGGATCCTTTGCTGACCTCGTCGGGGTGCTGTAAGTGAGCCTTGGATGCTTGCTCACCCACTCCTCGCCCCGGCGGGCCACTTTCGGATCTGGCACTTTGCATCGGAGCTCCTGCCGGGTCTTTGCATGGTCAGGTTTCGCTGTAGCATCTTCACTGTCCTGAACACAAGAGATGCGGCTAAACCCGCCCAGCAGTTTGAAGCGGAGGTTGCTCCAAATATTGCGAGTATGCGATCATATGACCCCAGTACACCCTAGTCTAATCCGTAAAGGCCCCGATATTTCCCATGGATTTAGAGGCCCCTCCTTCGCCAAAAGGCTCATCACCTCGTCGCAAAGCCCCCAAATCCTGAGGCTCGCCCGCTCGTCATAGAAGGTCCGCTGCAGGCCGATGATGACCTAAGATTGTCGGGGCTATACTCTCGACTCTCGACCCTTAATCTATAATGGGATCTTGCCTTCGTGCTTTCCTGCTCTCTGCGCCAGCTGTTGCGCGACGGCAAGGTGCAGTATAACCGTGATCCTAAACCGCCTAACCCTAAACTCACGCCACATGGAGCCTGGGCAAGACTTTCAACCCCTTGCCAGAGGAAATGTGCGTCGGAAGCGCAGGTGGCACGACATAGACGTCTTTAAGTAAAAACACATTGACATCGACCTCATAAAATGCTGGTGCCTGGAACTGCTCCGCACTATGTGTGGCTCGAGACAGCCTGTATTCATGGCCGCTGCATACACATGTACTTAAACATGAAAAGGTGTTACGGGATAGGCCAGCGACGAGCCCTTCACCTTCGCCCTGGGTGTAGCGCTCTGCCACGGCATTTGGGATCTCATCTGAGGTCATCCCGCAAAGGGAGGTCCCCAGGCTTATGCACAGTCGGGCACGAAGGGACCAGGAGAGCAGCCATTGGAGCAAGTCATGGCGGAGGGTATCGTCCATCATCTTTACCTGGTTCTTGCTGTCGCCCCATGCGCCATGGATCTCATTCAGCTTAGCCTGAGGGAAGCCTGCCTTCTGAGCCAAGCGATCGTGGTTCTGCTGGACCCAGTTCCCGATGAGCCCTTTTTCGGCCACAGCTGCCAGCGCATGGTGGGCGAAAGTCGGGGATAGCTCCAACCGGCTGCCAGTGGAGGCGATCTTCTTGTGGGGTGCGACAGAGCTACTGGCTCTGGAGGCATAGTCCCCGATGCCTGATGCGGCGGCAGGTGTCAACTCGACTGCGAATTCTGGGACAGATTACAACCCACGCCCATGCCTGAAGCTGTTGAAAGTCCTGCACCGGTGTAGATCACCGTGTCGGCACCACTCCGCCTCCACATTTCTGCGAGCATTCGCACTTTCTCCTGGTGAAGTACAAGCAACAGACGCATTGCCTCCCCCTACTGTCAGCGCACACTTCCACGCCCCCTCCCCTCAGGCTATGCTTCGTATGACTAACTGGACATGAATCGTTCCCCAAGCCCCAAGATGGGCAAGGCCCATCACCTTGCAGTCCTTGTCATGCCTGGGTCCAACTACGCCCTCACTAGCAATTGCAGCCACTAGCACTATAAGAAGCTGCTATTCGCATATCTCGCTTTGAGCGTCCGATGCCTCCAGCGGAACTGTCTACCGTTGCATGTGGTAGTGGTATTTCACATGGTAACACATGAAGCATGCCAGTTCGAATCATCCAGACGTCGGTTCTGTTACTGTAGCGCCCCAAATGCGCAAGTAAAAGTCCTGAAGCACGGCCGGCTCGTCCAGATACTCTGAGGCATCGTAAGCCGCATAGCCGGGTCGGGCCTTGCTTCAGGATTCCCTGTACAAAAAATGCATAAATACACATCATTCACATTTCTATCTGTGTATGTATATGTATATGTATATGTATATGTATATGTCTATGTCTATGTCTATGTCTATGTCTATGTGTATGTGTATGTGTATGTGTATGTGTATGTGTATGTGTATGTGTATGTGTATGTATATATATATATCTGTGTGTATAACGTGTGTGTATATATATATATGCACATTTATTTATTATTTATTTATGGT